TTATGAGGAAATTCAGACATTAAGAGCTGCTAGGGGTTCAGGCACACAGAGAAAGGGCCAGTGAAACCATGGGAAGGTGACAGCCATCCACAAGCTACAGAGAGAAAACCACCTCACCAACACTTGAATCACAGTCTCCCAGCCTTGCACATAGTGAGCAAATAAATGTCTGTGATATTTCACTGTGACAGCAAATTAATATACAAATTTTAAGTTCAGTTTCTTCACACTATTATAATCCAGTACTTCCCTCCTGTGTGTGCACAGCAAGAAGCATATTCCAGGCCTGCAGAATGATGCAAGACAGTCGCTGCACCAGATCCTGCTCCAGATTACAGGGAGAAAGTCAGAGCGCTGACAAAGGTTATGATGAGAACTGTGACAAATGCCACCAGGAAGTGCAGAGGAAAACTGCCCTGCTGCTGAAATGGGAGTGAGGGGTAATTGGAGAAAGCGCCTGGGGATTCAGAACAGATCAGAAAGGAGAAGCCTCTCTACTGGTGCAGCAACACAGGCAAAGGCCCAGCATTACCAAACAGCCCCAGAATGGGAAGGGTGTCAGGGGCAGAGAAGACAGTGCATGAAACTTAGGAGAGATCAGGGGCCACACGTGAGCCAGAATGTTAGCAAAGATACACAAGCAGGAGGAAGGCAGACCCAGGAGCAAAGATAGAAGACGTAGAGAGGCCAGAAAACTCCCACTGTCCGCTACCGCAGAAGGAGCTCTGTGAAGGGATCACTAAGAAAATGATGGCTGGAGGAAATGTCTGGGATGGGAGATGTGTGCTGAAAACAGATAATGGACCGAACATGATAACCTCTCAGTATCTGTATTGCAAACCATAATGCCCAAAAGTAGAGAGAGAGACTATGGGGAATATTGTCTGCCATGGAGGCAGGGGGAGGGTGGGAAAGAGGGAGTAGGGGGGATGTACTGGGGATATTGGTGGTAGGGAATGTGCACTGGTGGAGGGACGGGTGTTTGATCATTGTGTGATTGTAACCCAAACATGAAAGCTTGTAACTATCTCATGGTGATTCAATAAAATTTAGAAAAAAAAAAAAAAGAAGGAGCTGTCTTTAAGACAGGCACATTTCTACTTGCAAAATGAGTTAGCATTTTCTCATTTTTTACTCTGTCAGTCTGGAAAGAAGAAGAGTTGCCATCCACCACGATTTCCAAGCTGAGAGCTAGAGAACATGACAGCTACTGGGTACATTTCAGGATCAGTGCGTCAAAGGGGAACTGAAGTCCAAGATGCCAGCTCTACACATCAAAGCCTGGGGCTCTCCTTCATCACCACATTGCCAACTGGTCTTTGCGGGAAACTGCCTGTGTCTGCATCAAACTACCCACAGCAGTCTTTAACTTGCCACCCTCCCTGATTCAACGGTACCGTGGATTTCACTCTATAGAATGAGGGAAGCCCCAGACTCCATTAAAAAGAAGAAAACAAAGTTATTCTTGGGCATGTTCCCCTGTAGCCTCTCAGGAACTAGTGGGTTCCTGGGAAACTAGGGGTTTTCAATAAATAGTATAGCGAACTTCAAGAGACCTTTTGCCTTGCGCCCTAAATTGAGACTACCTCCCAGCCCCCTCAACAACGCCCTTATATGATGTGGGCTCCCATATACTCCTGTGGCAATTCCTCGTGATGTATGAAGATAGATTCATAATCTCAGGTCTCAAAATTGAAAGAGGAAATACAAGAATACTACACGGGGAGCTGAACAAGGCCAAAGATCGTGTGATGACTGAAATAAGTTTTCCTGAGTTCTTTCTTCAAATACCCTTGAGTCTGCTCACGGGTATTGTGTGATGTCTTGAGTCTGCTCATGGGTACTGTGTGAAGTCTTGCATCTGCTCATGGGTACTGTGTAATGTCTTGAGTCTGCTCACAGGTACTGCTCATGGGTACTGTCTCAATAAAGTCTTGCCAGTGGTTTTGGACAAAACAAAGCAACCAACAGACTCTCACTATGCCAATAAGCACCCAATGTATCTCTCTGTATCTCCTTTCAATACACTCATGTGGTTTTGGACAAAACAAAGCAACCAACAGACTCTCACTATGCCAATAAGCACCCAATGTATCTCTCTGTATCTCCTTTCAATACACTCATGTTCTTCAGTCTTCTGCCCGGGTCTCTCCTCATGTGCTTAGGAAGAGGGGCTTAGAAGAGAAAAGCAAGCACAGTGGCCGAGTACCCCCACTGAATCCTAATAATAAAAATTAATAATCCTGAGGATTTAATGCTTTGTTTCTACAAAACTCACAAATCTGTTAAAGAGCAAGTTCTCCAGATTTAAAGATTTCTAGCTTTAGGGAAATACACAGAAAACACATAGAAAAAAGTCACTGATATCAAAGGCATGATTATGCATTTAGACCCTTGCCTACAGCCTTCCTACAAGAGAAATAATCTAATATCTCCCACCGACTTTCCTTCATCCAAGTGATAATGCGTTGGTCACTGTGATACCAGTGGACATGATACAAGCAGAGATTGAGTATGAATGCATGACAAGGCCTGCCTGATTGCATGGTGGCCACAGCCAGGAAAAGAACAGGCCCTGGGCAACCAGCTGGTTCACAAGGACGAGGGACACGTGGAACAAATTTGGAAGCCACCCATGGCCTGGATCCATGCCCAGCCAAATCGGCTAAGTCTAGCCAACCATCAGCCAAGCTGCAGATGCATAAGGGAAAAACCAATGTTGTTTTAAGCCACTGGGTTGGAGTGTGTTCTGTGCAGCAGTGCCGGAATAACTGCTGACTGACAGAAGGCAGAAATATGGGGAGAGGATTACATAAACTACACAGATACAATATTTTTTTTCCCATTAATTTTCCAAGACTCTTGCCTCAAAAATTTTTTTTCCTGCCTGCAATCCTCTTCACCTCAGCCCTCAGGCACAGTCTTCCAATAAGTGATAACGACAGTACTAAAAATACCAAACAAGCAGAAAACAACTACATAGTTAAAGTCAAAAATACCATCTGAAATGGTCTTGCAAGGTCAAAAAAGGGAGTTTTTTGAAATATCATTAGTTTCTCTGAACCTTTTAACACCTAATGCATATCACATTTATAATCTTCTTGTGAGGTTACAAAATATTTTAATAATAAGATTTCTGAAAAATCGAAATGGAATTGAAAAAGGATGTAGGACCCAGAATCACCTTATGAGGGGAAAAAAAAAAAAAACACTATTAAAAAAAGTTCAAAGACTCACACAGTAACACTCATTGTGCATATCTTGGCAAAGATGTCAAGGAGAGACACCGCGAAAGAGATGAGGCTGACAATTTTTTCAATTTACTGCTGCTTAGCTCCTATGCTAACAGGTGCTCTACATACCAGAGACAATTATTTGATTTCTCTTTAAGTGGGACAGATTAGTCCTCTCAATTTGATAAATTCACTAAGGAAAGTGTACAAGCCCTGAAACTTCCATTGATTTGAGCTCCTCTATGTCAGGAGGTGTGGCACTATTTCTTAGAATTGATACAACTGAAATGACCAAAAATGTACACAGATCTGGGTGCTGCTTATTCCCCAACTGTCTGTTATGAAATACATAAATGAGAGGAGGCGGCCTCTGAATCAGCTTTCCACACAAAAATACTGAATTAAAGAAACACCATGAATAATATGTCATCATCATCATCATCATCATCACAATCAAAAGGAGAGGAAAGAAGCCTGAACAGATTTCCTTCTTTCGTTATTGCAAAGAACGTCTCAAGGTCATCACAACCCACCACCATGGAGTCCTTTCATACAACCTCCAATCTCAAGAAAAATAGCCTCTAACCCCCAGGTCAGCCCAACTGCCAATGCTGCACAGGAACTTTATATCCTATGGAATTGACCCCTTCAAAGAAAATTGTTACAAAACTCACAGGCTTATCCAGTTCCCCAAAAGCTGACCCCTAGGAAAATGCAGCTATTTGGCTCATTTTGAGGTGAAGGAGCTCCAAGTTAGGACTCTGCAAAGGATACTATTAAAAGCCATGTATCTAGCCTTGCCAAAATTACAAGCAAAGTGTTGATCCTTAGAGAAAGTCCCACCTCATTCAATTTCAAAAACAAATCCAGGAGTCAATAACTTTGGAATCATCCCTCAGACAGAAACTTTGAACGTACAAAATCCAAAGATGACCTCAAACCTGGTGCAGCTAACACCCCTAATGACACCAGTTTTCAACAACTCAGCAAAAAACAAACAAAAAAGAAAAAAAAAGCAGAGTACAAACAAGCTGAAGCTGAGAGCATGAAAAATGAAGGTAATTGCTGACATCCTTTCAAAATGAGCTGCCACAAACACAAGGCTATTGCAGTCTATCCTTTGAGATAAACGAAATCCCAATACAAGCTTAGAAATTTCTGAAGGCTGGAGCGATAGCACAGCGGTAGGGCGTTCGCCTTACACGCGGCCAACATGGCCGACCCGAGTTCGATTCCTCCGCCCCTCTCGGAGAGCCCGGCAAGCTACCGAGAGTATTCGATATGCCAGACACAGTAACAACAAAGTCTCCAATGGAGACGTTACTGGGCCCGCTCGAGCAAATCGACGATCAACGGGAGGGCCTTTACCTTTACCTTTACTTAAGCAATGCAAACTTATTTTTTAATATTTACATGGGAAGTATAGTTTCCACTTAACATCTAGCTTTTGGGTTGGATTTAACAAATGCAAAAAGGCAAAGCAAATATTTAGTGGTGTTTAACATGTGCTGAATCAAAAAATAAAAATCTACAAAAAGTGAAAGCAGACGTCTTAAATATCAACATTATACATATAAACATACACAGTTTTAATGTTTAAAAGCCTCCTGTGTCATTTCCTAACACGAACCCAATAAGGTCACTAACTGGCTTTCAGTGATCCTAACTGAAGCAAAGAAAACAGCAGTCACGTTTGAAAGAGAAAAGAAAAGCTTTTACCAATAAACCCAGCAGAGTAAGCTTACGACATCTTTTTATAGTCCTTACTTTCAAAATATTTTGGGTCTCATTCCACTTATTTGTCCATTCCTTGGTTAATTCTTGAACCTAAGAAGAAAAATATGAACAAGTGATTGATCTTTAGAAAAACTTACTGTGAATATTCTCCTAGAAAATTTCCAAGCTTTTATAGCTTATAGAATGACTATATACACACACATACACACAGAGTACATATTTTTTAATTAGATGACAATTTCCATCACTGAAAGAACAATCATAAAATATAAATCTAACAAAGCTATATTAAGGGCAAAAGAACAAATAGAAAAAAACTTTTGTCATATTATCTAATTTTGCAATTGTCTTTCCTAAAAAAAGATTCTCCTCTGAGTATGAAAATTACAACTTTAGGGATGACACTGTCCAGCCACATGGGTTCATTTTTTTTAAGATATTATGAAACAGTGATTTCTTATTAGATGAAAAGATTAAATCAACTTGGACAAACGTTTATTTTAGTATATAATATGTATTTATAGCTAATTAATAGAATTTATAAATCATGTTCTCTCTTGGAGGAAAGAAAAGGGTGGCTCTTTAGTTTACCATTTTAATAAAAGCATGGTTTTACAAGAAAAAATAATGCCAGCAAACAAATGAAGGGATGACAAAATGCAAAAGTAATAATTTTGCAGCTTCTAAGAAAATTGCTGATTCGGGCAAGAATTAGTAATTGTTGTCAAAATGACTCGTGGGAACTACAGTGACAACATATCTTATTACTTCTACTTCACTGCCCAAGAGTCTGCATAAAGATAGCACAGCGGGTAGGGCGTTCGCCTTACAAGCGGCCAACATGGCCGACCCGAGTTCAATTCCTCCGCCCCTCTCGGAGAGCCCGGCAAGCTACCGAGAGTATTCGATATGCCAGACACAGTAACAACAAAGTCTCCAATGGAGACGTTACTGGGCCCGCTCGAGCAAATCGAGATCAACGGGAGGGCCTTTACCTTTTTTAATAAAAGCAAAACATATTTCTGATTTTAAAAAAGCATCTTATTTTCAACTTGCTTTTATGAAATATATCTAAGTGTTGAATATTTTACGTTGAGAAAATTTTCAGATTCTATAAAACTTCTAAATGAGCCTCGTAAGCAATTTATTAAGAAGCAAACAGTAGCACATGATTGGGATAGAAAAACAAACATGAAAAATGTGTTCTACAGGAGAGACTATAACTAAGGTTAAAGGCAAGTGACTTCCTAGAAGTTGGGGAAGGAGAATTCTACCTGCCCTTCTTCCTGAGTCTCTGTAGTTAATTACTACTGCCACCAGGCCACTCCCAGGAGACACCACCTCCAATAACCTTCTGGTCTTCCCTCTAATAAGCTATTCTATTTAACTGGGACCAAAAAATGAGTCAATCCACAGAATATGCTTTCTTTTATTCTTGCTAAGAGGAAGATACTTTCCATGCTCCATGAAGTAAATTGAAAAGATTGATTTTTCACATCAGGAACCTTCAAGAAAGAAGTGTTTATTATGGACAAAAAATGGAAGAAACAAACATTTCTCATCCACTTATATTCAACCATTCTGTAATCACTCATTTTACTCTTCAATTTACCTCAACTGGAGATGAAAACTTAGAAATTCAGTAGTTGAAAACGTCTTTCCTAGTTGGCAATTCAAAATCTATTACCTTCTTGTAAAAGGGAAAAAAATAATAATAATTGTGGGGGGAAATGGAGGGAAAGAGGGGAACAGGTAGGAGGAGGCAGGTCAACCCAGTCTCACCCAAACCAAACCACCACAGTCATAAGCTCCTTACACTCCACTATCACCGCCATGCCCCTGGACGGATTCTACTGCCTCAGGACAAACCTTACCCAGAAATTAATCTGCTGAAAAATTCAAGTATGTGGGTTTGGTGACTGAAATCTCCAGGCTTTCTCTGGAGTCAGGATGGACTACCTCCCCCATATCCCTGTACTTCTGAAAGCCCCAGCAGTCACACACACACACACACACACACACACACTTTAACTCCAGCTGTATCACTCCATTAAAAATTCCAGACTTGGGGCTGGAGTGAGAGTACAGTGGGTAGGGCATTTGCCTTGCATGCGGTCAACCCAGATTGAATTCCCAGCATCCCATATGGTCCCCTGAGCACCGCCAGAAATGATTCCTGAGTGCAGAGCCAGGAGTGACCCCTGAGCATCACCAGGTGTGACTAAAAAAGCCAAAAAAAAAAAAATCCAGACTTACTGGAGCAGCATCTCAAACTCTACAACATTGATAAACCAATAGTAGCACACAAGATTGGATGGAATGTCACGTAGAAGACAACCAATCTCGATTAACAAAATATAAACAGAGAAGGCCTAACCTGTAACATCTTAGTAATCTCTTAACCATTCTCTTAGCAAATTATTGATAACAAACAATTAAAACAAATTATTAAAGGCTTGCTATGAGGGCAGGGTTAAAGGGGAGTTGGGAAAATTGGAAACAACGGTGAAGGGAAAGAGATGGTGGTGGGATTGGTGTTGGATGATTGCCAAAAACAAATCATAATGAACAATTTTGTAAACCATGTTTATATAAAATGTAAGGAAGAAAATTTATATGTGTAGGCCTTACCTATTCCATTTAAACTCCAAAATGTTTTAAAACAAAGTTGCTTTTAAAAAAAGTGTTATTAATGACAGGTAAGACATGATTATTACCATGAGAGTCAAGTATAAAAAAAAAATTAATGTAATATACCTTAGATTCCAGAGTTGAAAACACATATATGTAAATAACAGACATTTTTAATATACTGAATATTCTTAATTTTCTTATTTACATAGGTCAAAATCATATAGTAATCACTGACTGGCCCTTACTGATATATTTTCTGGTCATTCTATTCACCAGTTCTTAAACATTTTATTGGAATAAGCAATATAAAAAATATATAAAAATTTATTGGAATAGGCAATATAAAAAAATATAAAAATTTGTTCTGTGCCAAAGGGACAAAGTTTGGGATTTGGAGGGAAACTGAATACTGGTGGATGAAAGGTCACAATGGTGGGCTGGAACACTAAATGCTTGAAACAACTGTAAAATGAGTAACTTTGTATCCATTGTGTTTTTAATAAAAATTAATTTAAAAAGAAAAGAAATAGGACTGAGCCTCTCTAACATTATTTTTCATTTATTTTGAGTGGCTTGCTTACATTCTCAGAAACAGCCTATCTGGTTCCACATACCAATTTTACTTCATTACTTGTGTGATACACACCCCACAGCCTTCAGTAAAGCAATAAAAGTCATATGATTATTAGGGGGTTTTGTTCTGGAAAAGCTTTTAGAGAAGGAAAGCTTCTCTCCCATAGAAAGAAAAGGATTAGTGTATTGGATTGACTAATTTATAATAATCAATTAAAAGATCCTCACTGGTGACTTATCTAAGAAACACAAAGCATTTAAAAATAAGTGCATCTCAGTAGACTATGGACTGAACATATTTGCCACTCAATGCCTCTTTTGCAGACCATATCACCCAAAACGAGAGAGAGAACACAGGGGATTGCCCTGCCACAGAGGCAGGGGGGGATGGGGGAATGGGGGTGGGGGGGATATTATCCATGGTGGTGGAAAATGGGCACTGGTGGAGGGATGGGTATCTGATCATTGTATAATAGAAACCCAAGCACAAAAAATAGTAAATCTACAACTGTACCTCATGGTGTTTCACTAATAAAAAAAATAAAAATAAAAAAAATAATAAGTGCATCTCCATTTCACCAACAGATGTTTTCTGTCTAAAAATGTAAACTAACAAGTCCTCTTCCTATTCAGTCAAATAATTTTAGCTTTAAGAAAGGTAAGTAGATCTTGGATCTCTTACACTGTTAAATTTAAGAGAAGACAGTCATTTATAAAATTAAGGCAAAAGTATAAGCTTGTGATACCACATCTACAACATGATTGGATGATAAAATGTATACCAATCACCTGGCAAACATTTTTAAAAGGTCATCAAAAAGATAGAATAAAATTTAGAAAATATTATGAACAAGACAGGAAGTCATTTCTGTCACAGCATGTACAATGCTTTCAAATTAAAATGTCAATTGGTTTCCATTAATTTGCTAAATATTCCTGAAAACAATTAATAACTAAAGATTGCTTCTAGCACACAAAATAGAATCTGCCACACAAGAATTAAAATTTTATGAATAAAACAGAGATCAAGAACTGTTTTTACTATTTTTGTCAATTAATAATTATCTAAAGACATGTCAACAAATTCCAAACCACAACCAAATTTACATCCTCAATATTGTGTTTAGATTGTGTTTAAACATTTTGTTCAATATTTTTTTCATTTTTTGAGATTCTGTGGTTTATAATACTATCAATGATTTCTTAAGAACATAATTACAACACACACTCATCACCAGTACCCACTCCCCCTCCCAATGGCCTTAAGACCCCTCCTTTACAAGCTCCACAACTCAACTGTGTGGATCAGTTCTCCCATTATGTTGCCTTTATGCCTCTGTTGTTACCTTGCTGTGTAGAGATCATTCTGCACTATCCCTTACCTTCTGACTGATTTTACTCAACATATCTTCTAGTTCTATCCATGATGATGCAAATTGCATGAATTTCTTCTTTCTTACAGCTGCATAGCATTCTATTGTGTATATACATAACTTCAAAGGGTAGGGCATTTGCCTTGCACACGGCCGACCTGGGTTCGATTTTTCTGTCCCACTGGGAGAGCTCAGCAAGCTACCGAGAGTATCCCACCTGCACGGCCCTGCCTGGCAAGTTCCCTATGGCGTATTCGATATGCCAAAAACAGTAACAACAAGTCTCACAATGGAGGCATTACTGGTGCCCGCTCAAACAAATGGATGAACAGGAGGACAGTGCTACAGTGCTATAGTTCAATGTTTGGGTTGTGTCCATATTTTGGCTCTTATACTAGGTATGGCAGTGAACATAAGTGTACATCTATCAAATGTACACCTATGTGTAATGGGACTACATCAAACTAAAACTTTTTTCACTTTTTCACAGTAGGAAAAAAAAAAACTTAAGTTCTATTAAAAATATATCTTACTGAATGAGGAAAAAATATTTACACACAATACATCAGATAAAGGGTTGATATACAAGACCTATAAAGCAAAAAAAAAAGAATACAATTATACAACTTAAAAAACAACTAAAAAAATTCCACCTACCCCAGTCATAAAAAGGGAAGGAAATCAATAGACATTTCCCCAAAAAAAGACATACATATGGCCAACAGGCATATGGGAAAAGTGCTCACTGTCATTCACTGGGAAAATGAAAATTAAAATAACAATGAGATATCACCTCATGCCAGTGAGGACAGGACATGTCCAAAACTTTGAAAACAGTCAGCATTGGCAGGACTGTGGTGAGAAAGGAATCACACACTGTTGGTGTGAAGGTCATCTGGTTCAACCTTCATAAAAAGCAATCTACCCAAAAAATAGCAACAAAACTACCATACAATCCAGCAAAACCACTTCTTGGCATCTGTCCCCAAAACACAAAAATTAATTCAAAACAGTATTGTGTATTCCAAAATCTACTTTTCTACATCAATATATTAACCAATCAGGTTGGTCAACAAAATCCACTCAAAAAAATATTATTAAAGACTCTCTCTCTCGACAAAGAACTCTTTTATTTTTTAAATAAAAAAGTACAAAACTAGGTCAGCCATGAAACCAGTTTTCAAAAAGCACCAGTGCACAAATATTGCCTTCGGCCCTAGTTTCTCTAGCATTTCTCTCTTCTCATCACTCACTGCCACTTCCTCTTCCGCCTTGAATTTTATCTAACTGAAAATAAATCAAGCACCAAGCTGGATTACTTAAAGATTCCCCAAGAGCTACAATTCCAACTACACACAAAGGGAAAGAAATCGGTGAAAAAAAAAAAAAACTACACAATGATCAAGAGTTAGCAATGATAAAGCTATAAGGACCAGAGTTGGACCATGAATGTTGAACTTGACTTCCTTTGACTCCTAATGCCCTCAAATCTGAAAGCCTCACTACTCAGCACCAGGATAGATGTGTGAATTTTAACTCTCCTTAACATTACATGCTACATAAACCCAATTGCTGTCATAGAAAAGAGGAAGTCAACAATAGTTTTATCTGTACAAGTTACACAGGGATGAGAGGAGCTGATAATAAGTAACAGAAAATGAATCTTCATCAAGTAAATTCTAAAAAGAAAGCACTTACAATAATAGAGGAAGCTACAATTTTTTAAAAATATCAAATTATCACTTACTCTGGCTTCATTCTGCTGAAGTTTTTCTTCCATACTTAAGGCGGTAGGGGAGTCCAGGAGGGCAATCTACCATTTAAAATATGAAAGAGAGCAGCAATTAGTAAATATTAATAATTGAGGGTGAGGACTTTTCCATAATATGAATTATTGAAAATTTAAAAATACATTATACAGCATATATGCAAGTATCGCTCTATGCTTTCTAAATGAATGTCAGTCATCTCTAAGACTTTAATCCATGGTGGACATATCTCATAATATTCGAAATCACAGTATCTAAGTAAGTCTACATTTATAACACAGATCAGTAAAGAAAAAGACAAACAAGTAACATAGTGGCATTTTACCAAAATCAAACATAATCTAAATCCCTATAGCTAACAGATTTGTCTGTCTTGAATATACAGAGTGCAATATTTAATAAAAGAAAGAAACCTTGCTCAATCACAAACTTGACTTCATCCATGTTGACACATGCAAATTAAATTCATGTCTCTCCACTGTTGGAACATCCCATGTATTGGCTACATCCCAACCTAGGTATCCAGCTCCAAATCCATAGTGTCAACGTATAAAATTTATATGAGAATGACAAACACCATGATCTGACTAGAAGTGGGAAGAGAAGGCAGAAAGAAACAGATGATGATAGCGGAGACGGTTGGGTGGACTCTACTCCTAGCCTGCAGCGTGGAGAGCAGCGCTCCGGACATTCCTCAGAAAAGAATCACTTGACCACTCTCACCCAATTTTCAATGTGAAATTAAAATACTGGTCAAATATAAGCATGTTTTGCTGTGTATGTGTGTGTGTGGGGGGGGGAGGGGTAATACAAATTTGTGTGTTTTTAATATCCACTCTGAATTATTGTTTTTTTAGTCAAAAATGAATTTGGGGGAAATTCAGTACCAAAAAAATGACATTTCGTGCTTTTAAATCTTTCTAACCTCATATTACAGTAGTATACTGTTACACTGCTAATTACATAATCTCTATCAAAACTTTCCTGTTAACACAATGCAGGTTTTTCTAATCTCCTTTGCCAGCACTGCTACAATGATTAGCCCCAGCCCAAGTGCCTCCCGTGCATGTGGCTAAGGCAACAGAATACAGTCCCTCAAAGAAGGAAATGGGAATCATCTATGTTTTGTTTTGTTTTTTAATTACAAAGTTGTCATCCCCAAAAGCTGTGTTTTTTCATCACTATTTACTTTTCAGTTTCTACTTAGTCAGTCTAATCCCCAAGAGTCGGTATCAAGCTCAGTTAAACGCTCAGACTGACAAGCGCACACCTGGCGTCTATACACTCAGGAGAAAGCAGAGCTGATGGCAGGGAGGGAGCAGTCTCCACAGCTACACTGCTGTCTACACTGCTGTCCTCACAGCTGCGCAGAAGCCACAATTGCTTCCGGCCCTCTTAAAGGGTAGCGTCATATTCTTATGCACGAGGCTCACTGAGCATAAAAGGCAAGACCCCACAAGAACCAAGAACCAGCAACTCTTGTAACAATGCCACAGGTGCACTCTCCAAGGTCCCAAGAACCACTGCACTCAGAGCAACTCAAAGCAATGCTACCTCATGAACATTTATATACAGTTCATTCTAATCCAGATGTGATTTAACATGTATGGGTGATTTTCATTGGAGATGTTGGTTTCACAGCCAACATCCCACATTCTTCCAGTTTACAGAGATGAAGTACATAAGATAGCCTGTACAAGTTAAACTGTAAAGGAAAGTCATCTTTATGAATGAGGAAACAGGACCTGTGAATACATTACACAATGAATAAATGCACCTGTGTTGCCTTGTTCACAGAAGGGGCTCAAATATTTCTCATTTAAGAAAAACAATGCCAAAAAAAAGAATGCCAAGTAGTATTATGTGACTGCATTATTTATAAATTTGAGAGGTAAAGTCATGCCTCTTCAAAACACCTTGAAATGATTTTCAAAACAACTAGTAGCAACCCCTTTATTATACAGCTACTTTTGAAAACGGCAATTGGGACTTTTCAACTATAGTCAAAGCTGAAACACTGCTACCACATCAACTAAGTAGACAATCCCCAGCAATGTGCTATACTATATACTATGTGCTTCCCAAGCCCTCCTGACCAACATGCATTTTGATGGTGATTTTAAAGCACACGTAAATAAAGATCTACCAAACTCCACTGCAAAGAATATCTGATATAACTATAAGGGCAGTGCAAAGGATCTTGGACACTTTGGTGGTAGAATGCAGTAACTTATCCTAACACCATAAATGTTAACATTATTGTAATCATGCAAGCTAAATGACAACATAAAATTATAAAAATCAATAAATAAAAGATGGCAAAACTAAGGTATTTTTAATTAAATTAATTTGCAAAGTTATTCAAAGAAGGAGTAGATTTTTATTTAGTTGAACTAATAACCTCAATAAAGAAATAACCCTAAAGAACCATGGAAATATCTGGAATAGAGTATGATGTGAATAGAGCAAGTCATAAAAAAATTGTACGTTGAGTTTTTGTTTGTTTGTTTTGCTTTTTGGGTCACACCCAGCGATGCACAGGGGTTACTCATCAATTATTCCTGCAATGCTCAGGGGACCATATGGGATGCTGGGAACCAAACCCGGGTCAGCCGCATGCAAGGCAAATGCCCTACCCGCTGTACTATCACTCTAGCCCTGCATATTAGGATTTTTATAGGGCCCTCAAGGACACCTAATTTTTTTTAAATGAATGTGACAAAGTTAATTTTTTTTGATGACAAATCAGTATTGCTTCACAAAACTTTATAGCTTTGTGGTATGACAAACTATTTTAAATTGGACACCAATTATAATGCATTCACTGTAACGGAAAATCTTATTTTGAGTGCATTCTAAATAAAACAGACTTAAATATTTTCCATTATTACCCCCAATAGTACATCAACAATATTCCCTTTTGGGGGATGAGGGGGAGCAAACCTAGCAATGCTCAGGGATTACTTCTAGGTCTGCACACAGGAGTTACTCCTGGCAGTGCTCAGGGGACCATGTGGGGTATCAGGGATCAAACCCAGGTCTGCTGCATGCAACGGAAGGGCCTTACCCACTATACCATCACTCTGGCCCAGTATTCCTTTAATTATAGCAGTGTTCTTTGATCAAGAAAAGGACATACCAAAGACCACAAATTTCAAGTCAACTTGCATACCACAGACCTCTATAGACATTCCTCTGATAGAATTTTTTTTTTTTTTGGTGGGTGGTGTTTGGCCACAATTGACAGTGGCTGTGTTCAGGGTACAGATGCGGTTCCAGGGATCAGACTGAATTTGACCCCATGCAAGACGAGTGCCATACCTCCTATACTGTCTTTCTAGTATTTCCAGTAGAACTTATTGACCTTTTCTATGCCTGACAGATTTTTTCAAGGATTTCCTCGGTTTAATTTTAAAAGGAGATCCTTCTTTTTACTTCATTATTATCACTCATTAAAAGACTAAAGGCAAGAAGCCACACTTAGAATTTTCTAAATAGTTTACATACAACAGTATGATGATCCTTAAATGTTATTCTCTCAAATTATCTGTAAATATTTATTTTGCCTGAATAAAGCTTAAAATAAATAAGTAAATAAATAAACCACTGAAAAATATCCCAATAATAAGTGGACACTGTGGATAATGTCATAAACTAGACATACACCTGACACACACAGCTGAACTTTTAACAGACCATTTGTTTCCACATATGGGAAAGTAAAATGTGCGTGGTGATCCCCTCTGCAACTTCCACCATCCTATGAAAAATCACTGTCAGGTGTATATTTCAGAACATGGGAAATCCAACAAGGCTTTTATCCTGCCAATGTTTTCATAGATTAAACCACTTATAATATGTGAAAGGCTTTTATTGAAAAAGCTTTTACTGAAAAGGGGCAATATATTTCTTTATGGAAAACTCCCCAAGAGAAGCATCCTGAAATTAAAAGTAGTTTTAAATGCTACACTTAAGGCATCTATGCAGGGTTAAAATAGGAGGAAGTGTAACTGCTTTAATTTTCTGAAGGTATTGAGGGTGGTTTTATTTTTTTGGCTTGGTTTTGGTTTATTTGGAGGGACTCAGGGGAGTGGGGAGTAAATACAGTGGTGGGGACGCAACCCAGGATTGACCTCTTGCTAGACAAGAGCCTTAAGCTCTGTACTAGGACTCTGGTCTCTTTATTTTGAACCCCATTCTAACGCAAACATTTTTAAAATATTTTCTTTCAAAGACACCTTTCTTCCTAGTAGTATTTATACTCAACAAAATACAACTCTGTATGTTCACAATGCAGACTTATAAGGACACGAAAAATGAAAGGCACAAAAGGATAAGACTCTTTTCCTGAATCCCAAATTCTTACCCCAAAAGTGAAGCTATTTCAACAATCAAGTAAAGCCCCAGAGACATCATCTTAATCAGGCCATATCTAAGTTACACATGTCACAATATCACCAATTACTCCTCTAAAATAATCAATATGAAATAGATTCAGAAAGGTGTTCAAACTGATCTGCTCTGCTGATAAAAATACATGTCCACATCATAAAATGCATGGATAGAATTTTAAATATTACTCGAAGCACCTTAATTTCTTTCCACTATTGGAGATTATGTAGCTACTCCTACTGCGTGCTAAAATTCCATCCATAATTGATCACTATTAGTTAATCACTTCAGGTTTAGTGGATAAAACCTTACACACAGGGCACAAAATGAATGCTAAGGTCAATGGGAAGGTGATGTCAAGGAGAAAGGGTTAACTCCTTCAAAGCTTTCCTTAGCGCTCATTTACTCAGATCAATACAATGAGTGAGATAAATATCTCATTAAGACATAGAACTAGATGTGATTACTCAAAGAAAATTATCAGTAAGTCTCACAAAACCCAACCTGATTCCCTTGAGCAAGCAGCATTTTCAGTCTGGCTATTTCCGCTCGCAGCTCACGGATAAGCTTGACGTTGGCATCCTCGTTAATGGTGGGCTTGTTGATGATGTTTTTGGCTCTATTTGCATAGCGAAGAGTGCTTAGGGTTTCTCCATAATTGACATCAGCAGGTGAAATGGCTGTGAAGAATGAATGCAAAAAATAATTTATCCAACACCTTGTGTTTCATTTAACACAAAGTTGGTCTGTGATTTAAAAGTCAGATTAACCCAAGGTCACTGGATAAACTAAATATTCATTGCACAGGAATAAATATTAAAAATTATCGAAGAGCCATAGGAAAGATGCTCACTATATGAAATTAAAAGCCATTTTGCTCTTCTCAAGTCTAGCAATCTGCCTCTCACCAACTCTACAATGAGATATGTGACACTCTACTATAATTAGGGAGTTTTCTCTGTTGAAATATAGTAAGAGGATTTCAAGACTACTTTGTACTTCTCAATATTAAATTGAAATTAAAATACTTCCTAAATCTCTGGAAAAGCCTGCCATCAGTTAAAACTCAGAACATGAATTTTCCACGACAGGGGTGAAACTAGAGGATATCATGTTGAGTGAAGTAAGTCAGAAGAAAGAAATAGGTACTTTCCATATTGATCACCTAATATGCAAATTTCATGACTTCATCTTTTTTCTATCAGCTGCATAGTATTCCATTGTGTATATGTACTAAAGTTTAAGTGAAATGAGTCAGAAAGAGAGGGACAGACACAGAAAGATTGCACTCATTTGTGTAATATAAAGTAACAGAATGGGAGATTAACACCCAAGAATAGTAGAGATAAGTACCAGTAGGATTACTCCACAACTTAGAAGATGGCCTCACATGCTAGGGAAAAAGGCAGCTCAGACAGAAAAGGAACCACCAAGCAAAAGGTGCTAGTAGAGCCCACTCGCGATGGGAGATGCCGGCTGAAAGTAGACTATAGACTGAACATGATGGCCACTTAATACCTCTATTGCAAACCACCACACCCTAAAGGAGAGAGAGAGCAAAAAGGGATTGCCCTACCACAGAGGCGGGGTGGGGTGGGGTGGGGGGACAGGGTGGGGTGGTGGGAGGGATGCTGGTTGTTGAAAATGGGCACTGGTGGAGAAATGGGTACTCGACCATTGTATGACTAAAAAGCAAGCAGGAAATTGTAAGTCTGTAAGTATACCTCACAGTATAGCACTGTAGCACTGTCCTCCCATTGTGGACCCAGTAGTGTCTCCATTGTGAGGCTTGTTACTGTGTTTGGCATATTGAATACGCCAGGGATAGCTTGCCAGGCTTTGCCATGTGGGCAAGATACTCTCGGCAGCTTGCCCAGCTCTCTGAGAGGAGCAAAGGAATCAAACTAGGGTCGGCCGCGTTGGCTGTGTGCAAGGCAAATGCCCTACCTGCTGTGCTATCGCTCCAGCCTGACCTCACAGTGATTCACTAATAAAAAATTAAAAACAAATAAAAAAATAAATAAAAGGAAGAACTAGGTAGAGAATGATCCCTCTCATATGTGGGACTTAAAGATATGGGAGTAATTGCATAGGTAGCACATACACTAAAATAAGATATATACAGAGAAGATTAACAAAGCAAGATTAACTAAGCAAGGATGACAATGCAAAACCCTGAAGGTTCCATGTTTCAAAATGGGTTTTTATTTAGTGCATTTAAATGTTTCTAACTAGGAAAGTTTAAAAAAAAAAAAAAAAAGGATGCATCGGAAAGTAGCAACTAAAGGAGACTGATCATACAGGAGAACCGATCCACACAATTGAATTGAGCAGGTAGGGATGAAAAGGGAGAGATGGTAGGTGGATACACTGTGATAATGTAGTGTCCAAATTATGTACACCAGAAATCATTATTAAAAATGTCACAAATCACTGAACCCTATCAATAACAAAGTTTAAGAAAATAAAAATAAATAAAACTCAGAGAAAAATGATATTTGAAAATAATTAATAGATCAGTTCATTCTTTTTCTTGAAAACCTTCAGTTACTGCATCCTCAACCCAGTCACAAGTGTCAAGAATGAGATGACTAGACAGTTGCATAAGGCAGGCACATCCCTTGCCTCAGCTAATGCAGGGGATGGGAAATGAAGAAATAAAAGGCACAAGAACAGAAGCAGAAGTAAAAGAGGGTTTTGAGTCCTCAACAACTGTCTTCTCTTGAACATTTCATTCCCTCTGTTCTATTTAAGTGGTATAAATATAGAAGCCAGTCACATTATTACTGCCACCATTATTTATTATAGCTATTGCCTTTTTCTCTCAATTTTTAATTTCAATTTAATTTCATAATGGGCTGGAGCGATAGCACAGCGGGTAGGGCGTTCGCCTTACAAGTGGCCAAGATGGCCAACCCGAGTTCGATTCCTCCAGCCCTCTCGGGGAGTCCAGCAAGCTACCGAGAGTATTTGATATGCCAGACACAGTAACAACAAAGTCTCCAATGGAGACGTTACTGGGCCCGCTCGAGCAAATCGACGATCAATGGGAGGGCCTTTACCTTTACCTTTTAATTTCATATTCATTCTTTAAAATAGAAAAATAAGTTTATTTTTCACTTTATGTCCCCATAATAATTTTCTACTATGCATTATTAGAATTAAAATTTTCTAGCTAGATTATGCAAAGAAAAACTGAAAATCACTCTTTAGTGATCCACGCTTCCATGACCAAGGCATGGCACGGCAACTGTATGTAGCTAGAAGGATGGAAACAGGGACACAAACATGATGCTATAGACTAGGCCCTAATTTCTTAAAATTGTAGGTTAAAAACCTATGGAGGTCATATAACTAAATATGGTGTCACAAACAAAAATAGGTAACTAAAAATAAAAATTTACCTTTTAACTTAAAAATTAAGGTTTTTTTAGTTAAAAAGAAAATTTCTCTGTTATTTGCTATCTTTAAATGTCTTATTTCTCTACCTATTTTATATACACCTATAATGCTTAGGATCATATAAAAGTTTCTCAGGTGAAAAAAGATTGCAAGTGGAAAATGTTTCAGAATGCCTAGACTACGTTATAGCAGTGATTGTCTACAAAATAGTCTACAAATTACTGTTTCAGTTTCAACAGATTAGTGAGTCACTTTAAACTTAAATATTTATAGTCCATTCATGTGAGACACTCTATGCTAAAGGAAAGAGCAGCCTTCTTGAGGCGAGCTAGACAGTCTGGGAGTAAGGAGCTCACCTCGCCGGCAGCCAAGCTGAGCTGCGGTCCCCAGCACTGCATGAGGCCCCCCATGTCCCACCAGGAATGAAGGCTGGCTTAACACCATGGGCAGGATCAAGCCCTCGGCCAGCCCAAAAATGGCCCAAACCCCGGTCCCTCCTCCCACAAAAATCAACATTTATCTTACTGGCAATCATGATAGTTTTAGAGTTTCCTCCAAGGCTATCTTTTAATAACCAAGTCAAAACAGAATCCCTGTAAGGCACAAAAACTTGCTTCTTCTTTACAAGAGGGTTTGCTGCATCCTGAGATAAATCAGCTGTAGTGAGGAGAAGAAAAAAGACAATTATTTGATTGTTTTTTTCTTTTTCATTTGGCTTCAAAACTCCTAAAGGCTATTCTTTTTTCAGTTTGTAACACAAACATAGCATAATTGTCTCATGCTAATACATAAAGATTTCTGAGACAAAGGGGAAAAAGTACAAGCCTACCTAAGGCAGAAATGACATTTCCCAGAGTCACGAGGGACTTGTTAATGTTGCCCCCTTCCTTCAGTCGAACCCCAGTGGCACCGGTAGCATCCGCACGCTCACTTCCCGCAAGATCCACCAAGTGGATCTTACTCACAGTCTCACATGGCATTTCAGAATCAAATTTGGCCTGTGGTAAAATATAAAAGCCAAAATGAAGGACTACAGTTATGGTACAAGTTCTAATTATTTTCTACTCCACTGTGATCTGACAGGAATTCTTTTTTCAAATTCTGTTACCTCACTGACTTTCTACTGATTACAAAAACTTCCAAAATTCAATCCAACACAACAAAAGGCCACCATATAAGATTCTTAATTTTTCTAAAGAACTATTCCAATACTGAAATTATCCACCCAATCTCCACAGAAAGATTACTGTGTGACTGGCAAATAGGAAACCTTTGACTGAGAGGCACTCAATGAAACATAAAACAAAATACAAAACAAAAAGAAACTAGTAAACTAATAAGTTTTGCTCTATTCCAAGAATTTCAACAATCCAACTACAAAAGATCTTCAAACTACAATAAAGGCCCTCCCGTTAATCGTCGATTTGCTCGAGCGGGCCCAGTAACGTCTCCATTGGAGACTTTGTTGTTACTGTGTCTGGCATATCGAATACTCTCGGTAGCTTGCCGGGCTCTCCGAGAGGGGCGGAGGATTCGAACTCGGGTCGGCCATGTTGGCTGCGTGCAAGGCAGACGCCCTACCCGCTGTGCTATCGCTCCAGCCCAAACTGTAGATAATTACACGAAAGATCATTTGACCATTATTGGCTATGAAGACATTTATTTCACAAATTATTTTTGAAAACGAGTATCTTATGAATACTACATTTCTTGTTTCTGAATTCTACCCAAATTTTACTTTTCTAAGGTAGAAAACTTTTAACCTGTTTTAGTTTGAACCAAAATGTCATAAACAATTACTTTATTCTGAAAGAAATGTTAACATCCTTGAAACCAGGAGTGGCCAAAATGATGACCACATTTGCATAATGCACTAAAACATAATGCAGGAGAACAAACAGCAAATCAAAAGCACAGTGGAGTAGAACCACAGAACACAGAAAATTTATCAGAAGAATTTGTTACAATTTAATAGAATTTATCTGGTTAACCTTATAAGAACTTAGAGAACGTTTCTTTTCCTTGGCCCTTTGCCCCCCTTATTAATAAAATGTTATATTTCTATATCTGATATATATATATATATATATGATTTGTATCTGAGCAGAGTGGGCTGGAGTGATAGCACAGTGGTAGGGCATTTGCCTTGAATGCAGCCAGCCCGGCAGAGCCGGGTTAGATTCCTCCGCCCCTCTCAGAGAGTTCGGCAAGCTACTGAGAGTATCTTGCCCACACGGCAAAGCCTGGCAAGCTACCCATGACATATTCAATATGCCAAACACAGTAACAACAAGTCTCAAAATGGAAATGTTACTGGGCCTGCTCAAGCAAATCGATGAACAATGGGAGGACAGTGTATCTGAGCAATTAACGAAGGCAAAAATAGCCCCAAACTACTAACAAATGTATAACATTTTTTGCCTTTACCTACTCTAATTGCCTAGGTGTGAAAATATATCTCTATCATAATTTCCACACATTTTCAAAGTGTTGGCCACTTCTTGGTCAAAATGAATACTTAGTGCTTAACAATGTTCATATTCCTCTAATATTAGTCTAATAATTATAATCAACATTGTGAGATGAGCTCCAGAGAGTGATAATGTATGATGATGAGTTACTCACCTTGGCCTCCAGCTGGTCTAACTATCCATTATCTCCCACAGTGCTTGCAACAGTGAAAACTTTTATTTAATTAAATTAAATACAAAGCAAGTGAAGTTTGAAGGGTTTGCTTCACTTTTCCTTTTTCTCTTTTTTTTTTGTCAAATGTTTGAAGCAGGGTGAAATCCTACTCAATATTTCTTAAGGGTACACATTAAGGTATTTCAAATTGCTGTGATTGTAACCACAGAGAAAGTCAGCACACAGCACACGTGTGACCTAGAAATAAGTCTGTCACCTTTGCCTGCTGCAGCTCCTGGTTTAACAGTGATGAGCACTCATCTGGTCCTAATCCACGCTCAAAGACCTGAGGGGTGGAGCCAGTCTGCCCACAGTTGCCCTTACCTGAGTGAACTTGATGGTGAAGATGGCATGCGACCTGCTACTAACATCATTCATCCCAGTTGCTGCTGTGGTACGATTGATATTTCCTGCATCCATAAGTTCTTCAACATCACCATAATTCTGTACTAAATGTTTGGATAAGTCTGGGGCGGGGGAGGTGAGGAGGAGGGAGAAAAAAAAGGAAGTAAAGAAATTTCCCTAATATAATGAACAGAATATAAAATTTAGCTTTGAAACAATACGTGACTCCACAAATTCATCGACTTTTAAGATCTTATTTATTGCTGAGACTGGCTCAGAGGCTGGGGTTCCTGCTCCTCTCCCAGTCCTGCTGCTTCTCGGTGAACTCCCGTGGTTGAGGACAGAGGTCACCTGCCCCGCTCACATCAGCCACCTGTCTGGTAATGCACCTACCACACGGGGTGATTTAAAACAGATGTTGTTAGCGTCTATCATCCATGTTGTTTGCATTGGTCAGAATACATGGAAGGGAAACAACCTCTATTTTCATGACAAATCTAAAAGCACTTTTTATATGCTGTTTTAAAATGTTAATTCATTTGGAGGGGTTATGGGAGAGTACACTCATATAGTTCCAAAGTCTACGGCTATGAAAGGAATACTGTGTAAAAGGTCTCCTCCTGTCCTTTCTGCCAGCCTGTTTCAGTATAAGCCAAAGATCAGATTTATACTGAAGGAGGTCTTTCTCCATACCCTTCTAAAAAATGCATACATAGTTTTCCCCTTTCATATCAGTGCAGCATACCATAACAATGTCTTTATTTCTAGGTAACATATTGAAGAATATTCTATACTAATTAGATAATTTCTCGTTCATTTTTATGGCTAAGGCACATACAAGTGAATGCATGGATCACAACCAATTTATCAGTCATCTATTAAAACTATAAAAGTTGCTTACAGTTTCTTTCCAATTATAATGATGCTATTATGAATACCATGAATGTGGGCATTTTCAAATGTATATGACTACTGTTATAGAATACATTCTTAAGCAGTGGAATAGTTAGATCAAAACACATTGGAAATTTTGATGAATAATAAAAAATTGCCCCTCTAGAAGGCAATTTACAAACAGCAGTAGCAATCTGTAAGATTATGTGGTCTCTGAACACGGTCTTATACTATTGCCTTTCATCTGTCAGGAATAAGAAAAAAATTGTTATCAGAAGTATTTTTATTTTTTTTTGTCTAATTATGAGTGAGGTTTAATATCCTTTCCTCCATTTAAAAAAGCATCTCTACTATCATTTATGTGAACGATTATTCACATCTTTTTATTTTTCTGGCTGGTTGCTGGCTACATCCTTATTGATTTATAGAAGCTTTTTATTTATCAGTAAAATTGGTCTTTTGTCTGAAACACAAATAGAAAAATATTTCCCCATCTCCTTGGTCTGAAATACAAACAGAAAAAAATTTTCCACACATTGTACGTTGTCTTTTTACTTTGTTTATGATGTTTCTGCCAAGTATAAAGCTTTATTTTTCAAAACACTTTAAAATTGACATACTTTATTTCATGGTTTCTGGATTTCAAGATAAGTTTTCAAAAAGCTCTCTCTTTTTCTTGAAAATATTAACCCAAGGTTTCTTGCAATCACTTTATTACGCCACTTTTAACATCTAAGTATTTAATCCACTTGTCACTTATCCTAGTGTATTCATTGAGCTACTAATTTACTTTTTCTCCCAGGCAGCTCAAATATCCCCAATATTTGAGCAGTATAAAAGGTAAAGGTAAAGGCCCTCCCGTTTATCGTCGATTTGCTCGAGCGGGCCCAGTAACGTCTCCATTGGAGACTTTGTTGTTACTGTGTCTGGCATATCGAATACTCTCAGTAGCTTGCCGGGCTCTCTGAGAGGGGCGGAGGAATTGAACTTGGTCGGCCATGTTGGCCGCTTGTAAGGCGAACGCCCTACCCGCTGTGCTATCGCTCCAGCCCTTTTGAGCAGTATATTTATAAGAATACAGGCCTTAATAGGAATCTCCCTTATGATGAAACACTACCATTAGGGTCAGTAAAAATACCCAATAGAGGGGGCTGGAGCAATAGCACAGCGGTGGGGCGTTTGCCTTGCACGCAGCCAACATGGCCAACACTGGTTCGATTCCCAGCTATCCCAAATGGTACCCCAAGCACCGCCAGGAGTAATTCCTGAGTGCATGAGCCAGGAGTAACCCCTGAGCATCGCCGGGTGTGACCCAAAAAGCAAAAAAAAAAAAAAAGAAGAAAAAACCAAGAAAAATACCCAATAGAGCTGTGACGTCATTTAAACAGACAGCCTATAGGACACTTACCTAGGAATATGCACAACAAACTTCCAGAATTCTAAAGAAAATCAATTGACCAAGTCTCATATAGTCGTGACTACCCAGTGAAATATGTATTAAATAATTAATTAAGCAAAGAATTAAAGTTTCTAGGTTCACTCCCCAATATCCGAAATTGCAATGTAAAAAAAATGAAAAAAGTTCAATAAATATCATGTAGTGACAGCAAGACATTCTCACAATGATCAAATGTCCAAAGTAAACACATTCTTAAAAATCTGTTCATTACAGTCATATTTTTCTTTGAAACTAGTACTGTTTTACCAGTACCCAGGAAAAGCAGGACTGTGAAATATTCTCTTACCTTCAACATAAGGACCTTCTTTTGGGTGCTCACGAACTCTTAAATTGAAGGTTTTTGATGACTTCCGTCTAAGTAAATCTCTGACACGTTCATTATAAATTTCTAAGTAGCTAGAAACATTAAATAAAACTGAAGTCAGAAAATTTATTGACTAGGGCAACAACAGTAACAGCAGCAGCTATTTTCCTTATTTTACAGAGTAGACAAAGGAAGTTTATGGTGATCAAAACCCTAGTTTTACTATAAGTCTGGAACAAATATGGGGTAAGGTAACCAAGTATAGAGACTGTTTTAAAATAAATTTCTTTATGATTTACTAACAGTAAATGTTGAGTTTGTACAGCTATTTTATATACATATATGCCTGGGGTCCCATAAAAATTTATCAGGCAAAAAAGAGTCGCGAGAAAAAAGAAAAAGTTTAAGATTCCCTGATAAACAATTCATCCAAAGCCTCATGGCAGAAGTCTAGCATCCAGGAGAATCAGGACTGTGCTCAAAACCAAGGAAGAGATGTGTTCCCTACACAGGCTTAATTTCAAGGTAGAAAATCATCAACCATTCAATTGCATTTAAAGAGGACATTTACAGTGAACTTACCAATATAATAAACAAAAACCTTTTTCAGTTAGAATTGGATAATCACTTGTAAGTCAAAAATTCACTCCATTGAAGATTCATATCCCCTTTTAAAGGTTTCTGACCAAAGGGAATTATTTTGACAAAACCTCCAAATCCACAGCCCACGTGATATCCCATGCAAGTGACTGAAACATACACATTTCAGGCTTTCCTTCCGACTACCATGTGATAAGGGGCAGGGAGGGTGCGGGCTGGTGGAGCAGACTCTCCCCTCGGGAATCACGAAGCTTCCGCCACTCTTTGAGCTGAAAGCAAGAGCCAGCCAAGCTCACACTCAGGTCACAGGCCCTACCTGACTTCAGTTCGAAAAGATGCTTCATCCCATCTGGTGGTTTCATTTATCTGACTGAAGAGCCCTTCACAGATTCGCGGTATTAAGCCAGAATCCCCCTGCAGTGGGAAGGAGGAAAGCCACAGCTGTCACTTGAAATAAAAGCAACTGAAGACAGAATTTGCAATTTGCTGGAGTGGACTTCAACTCAAGAGGCGGCATGCCTGCTCCAGCTCCGCCACGCCAGGGTCCCAACCAGTCCAGCCACCTTCTCCACACTGGCCCCTACTGCCAAGAACTAAAAGGCTGAGCTTTCTAATTCTTTCATGCTGGCACTCTGGCAATACATGCTTATCCGTGTACTGTTAATTAGTCAATTCAAAGGCTCGCATACATAGACAATCTATTTTCTAACTTTCAAAGAAGACAGTCTATAGCTGAAGGATCCTGTTAAAAATCTGACCTGGTCAAGTGGCCAAAGAACATGTAAAATCAATGGACAGAAGAAAAAAATTTTAAAAAATGGAAGTTTAATGTCTTCAAAGAAGCTAATTATCATCAGGATAATTAAAGCACCTAGAATACCCTTCTTTTGAAGTACTAACTCTACTGTAGGAGATAGTGGATAGCCAGCTGTCTTTATTTCTTAATTGGTTTTTGGGCCACACTCTGTGGTGCTGGGGTTACTCCTGGCAGTTGGGGGACTATGACATGCTAGGGATAGAACTTAGGCCTCCAGCATGCAAAGTTGGCTTCCCAGCCCATTCATGGTTTGTTTTTGTTTGGGGAGGAGGGGCACACGTGAGAGTGCTCAGGGATGACTACTGGCTCTATGCTCCTGCTGGGCTGGGGAACTACATAGGGTGCCCGGAACCCACCAGGTCTACAGTGCACAAAGCAAGCACCCTATCCACTGCACTATCTCTCTGGTTCCTCCCCGGCACTTTAAAGCTATATCTCCCCAGTCCCTAGGCTGACATTTTAATACAATGCATGCGGTGCGGACATAATCAACAATATTCCTACTCTAGTCAGAACAAACTCATGAACCTCAGAAGAGTGTATGAGGAGCAAAATGCTGTTGGGAAACCGAAGCTTCAGAGCTTCAATATTTCCTTTTAAAGCCTCTCCAGGGTTCTCCCCAACCCTCCTCCAACTGAAAACTAAAAACACAAACACTGTCCTCCCGTTGTTCATCGATTTGCTCGAGTGGGCCCAGTAACGTCTCCGTTGTGACACTTGTTACTGTGTTTGTCATATTGAGTACGTCACGGGTAGCTTGCCAGGCTTTGCCGTGCAGGCAAGATACTCTCGGTAGCTTGCTGGGCTCTCCGAGGGGGGTGGAGGAATTGAACCCGGCTCTGCTGGGCTGACTGCACGCAAGGCAAATGCCCTACCACTATGCTATCATTCCAGCCCTGAAAACTAAAAAAAAAAAAAAAAAAAAAAAAGGTGGTCTCATCACAGATTAAAGAGAATTTTCTCCCTGTATTATAAAATCAGTGCCCAGTGCCCATTATCATCAAGGAAAAAAGAGAACTTTCAGCAAATTTTCCTTCTTACTTTACAAATAAAGGAAAAAGTTATCAAAACAGTACTCAACTAGGAGGTCAAAGAAAACAATTGTAATTGATGACTGCTTTAGAAATGTTAACATACACCCAAAAAATAAAGAAGCTACTAGGGATGTCAACATAATACATATTTCATTTTTAAGAAATCTTATTTTAAAGGCTACAGTCGGGAGAAAAAGTAGTTACCAAAGAAAATGTGAAATTTGGAATTATCTGTATTTCTCCTAGATGTTCTCCCTTTTTTTCACTATTGAGGAATCACAGTGTTTAGCAATTTCACATGTAAAGGAAATGCCTACATGTAAAAAGCCAGGATTGTTGCACTGAAAAACTCATCTGAAAAATCTGCCTTCTCCCCTTTAATACACTACTACTTTCATGAGTTACTGCATCTTTAGCATTTAGGGCACCACCACGCCTGCCAGTAGGAAGCCTGAGATGTTCTGCTAGTGCTCCACATCTAAAACATGCCACAGGCCTGAGAATTTTCACCAAGGCCTAAGAAATGTCAACGCAAATGCTATCTAGAGCTGGAAAAAAATTCCTGAAATAACATCAAAATTTTTATTCCTCCATATTATGGGAAACTTTAATGCTCATCACCATACTATTATATACCTATAGAGACTCTAGATACTCTAAAATTAACTAATAGTTTTATCAAACTATATTTACTACTTAACTATCTACTTACTTAAAACTGTAATATGCTGCCATGCATTTGCTGGATTTAGGTACCCTTTTCCAACAAAGAATTAGATGCACTTTTATACTTTTCTTGGGGAAAAGATTTTGAACAACTTTAAAAAGAAGAGTTCTGTAATTTATTCAAACTGTTGTGTTGGCAGTAAAGAGGAATAAATTACTGGTGAGCCCAACATACTTTTTTTGATAAGATTATAAAACCTTTAAAAATGGAAAATGAACTGAGACTTGTATCTATTATTCATGCTTATAAATGTAAAACTATTTCAAATTCAAAATCTCTCAGAGGAAATTTTGTCCAACTTATTACTGAATTGTATGCTATTGCTAAAGAACGATTAGAACATGGAAATCAAGTTAATACAGACCAACTAGAGAAAAGAGATAATTCTATCAGTCCAAAAAGAGATGAGAAGTTTTCCCCACACAGTGTAAACAACGTACAGAATTTCCCATCATAGTGTATGACTTTCCCGATCCAGTTTGCCCATATGCAAAGACACAAGCATTATAACCTTCAAATGCAGACTTCACGACATCTGTGCCAAGGGTTTTGAAAACCTAAAAGAAAGCACACACACAAGATACAATTACCATGGAGTTTTTAAAAAGCAGGTTCTATGTTGACAATATTCTTCTTTAACATTACTTTCATCTCCTAAGAATTACACAGCATAAATAAATTGCTAGAGTACTGTTAACCCCAGAAGATGTACATACCCCCAGGTTTAAGCATAAGGAAACTGTCCAAGTAAGCAAGAGTAACCCCATCCTTATCCCTACTGAACCAAAAATTCCTGATATACGTAAATGTAAACAAGGAAAAGTGACAATCCAAGGTGGCTTTGAAAAAAAGGTGATGATTTTCAAAGAAACTGCTCCTTCCCAACAAGATAAATGTATAAAGTAAATCATTTTATCAGAATTTCCAAAAACTAAACATTCAAAATCGTAGATCATAGCAGCCAGAAGCCACTACTCAAACTTGCTAAACCAATACCCTAGTGAGTCCATCTACTTATCCAAATAAACTCCTAGAGATTGATGAGTATAGACCAAGCTAGGGTGGTTGGTCCTCTTCATGTCAGAATCCAGGCTTTTTTTTTTTTTCCTATTTTACTATTAGTCAAAGACAGAGAGGGCAAGGAAATGATCTGTATGTAAGGAAGTGAGTCTAAAGTTGTACCTCCAGTGATTTAAGAATCCTTGTCAGTTGTACCACATAACGGCAATGGGACTGTTTAGCCCCTAAACAGATAAATACTTCCCCTAAACACCTGAGCTAAAAGAGGTAACTCAAAATGTGCAGTCATCCTAGTTATACCCAGCTGGACAGGGAGCACCCAAAGTATCCCAACTTAATGCACTTGACTTCCTATTGCTTCCTCACAAGGACATATAAAATGTCTCCATCAGCAGCTGAAGAAACATCAAAGAGAGGGCTACTGATCAGATTTATCGGGCAAACTCACACAAAAAAGTGAGGTAACCTGCATTGTGGAGTTACCGCATTTAAGCCTCATCAACACACAGAAGTGTTCAGTGATTGTGATTGTGAGTGATGCTAGCTTAGCCAAAATTTAAAACTGTTATCTCCCCTACAGATATCTAGGCCCTCTAGCCAAACACTTTTCCCCTGGATAGAGGGACAGAGCTGAAAAGCACTAGCAACTTTGTTCCCAGCTCCACAAACCTTCTGTGCCTATAGTACTGTCTGTCATATAAGGAGGAGATCAAAATACATCCAACTAGATGTCAGTGCACCTTAGGTTACCATTTTCCCACCTGCTTGTTTGGGTTTTGTTTCCTGTGTCATCAGCCTAAGCTTACTAACTATGATTTGAATCAAGTCACTCCTACAAATGGGAGCTCTCATTCATTCATTGGATTATTGTTTATCCACTTCAGATCCTGCTATTTTCTAACCCTTTCTTCAAAGTCTGGTGACTTCCCCAACTCTCAATAACAATAACAGGTCTTAATAACACCATGAGGCACTGTCTATGCTCTTGCATATCTTTGAGTATACTAGTTCCACAAAATCCAACAAGATGAGCAGTGTCACCAAAAGAAGGGGGCAGGGCTGAACACACACCGAGACTTCTCTGGGCCCAAATTATGTGACCTAAAGTCTTGGTGACTATGTGTCCTCACCTGACATCTATGATATCAACTACATGGCCCTTGATCCCACCTGGAAGGACCGTCCCCAACAAATGTCTAGGAAGAACCAGGAGTCCCATACAGCCTCAGGATCCAGAATACCCCTCTTGGGCTAGTTTTCACCACCATGTATGTAAATCACAGTCACGGTCACGGTCCTCCTGTTGTTCATCGATTTGCTCGAGCGGGCCCAGTAAGTCTCCATTTTGAGACTTGTTGTTACTGTGTTTGGCATATAGAATAAGTCACGGGTAGCTTGCCAGGCTTTGCCGTGTGGGCGAGATACTCTTGGTAGCTTGTCGGGCTCTCTGAGAGGGGTGGAGGAATCATGGAGGAATCAAACCCAGCTCGGCCGGGCCAACTGCATGCAAGGCAAACACCCTACTGCTTTGCTATTGCTCCAGCTGGGAAACTACATACTTCTGCAAGTCTCTCGGATAACACAAAAACAAAAAGCCCGTCACTCTCACCACTTCACAGAGCATGAGTGCAGAGGAAGAAAAGCTTCCATTAACTAACTTCCCAAAGAACAGTTTCATCGAGGGCTAAAACTCAAGAACATGACCAAACTTCAACTAAACCCCCAAGTGTTCAATGTGACCATCCTTCACTGTGACTGTGGTTAAGGCCTAAACTCACCACCAGGGGCTGAAGCGATAGCACAGCAAGTAGGGTGTTTGCCTTGCATTCGGTCAACCCGGGTTCCATTCCCAGCATCTCATATGGTCCCCTGAGCACTGCCAGGAGTAATTCCTGAATGCAGAGTCAGGAGTGGCCCCTGTGCAATGCCACAAAAAAGCAAAGGAGAAAAAAAGAAGAAGAAGAAGAAGACCTAAACCCACCATTTTACTCTCATTTTATTTTCCAGAATGCCAAGGCCGCGGGAATTTTCTCTGGCTCCTGGGCTGGGAAGAGGATGGGAGGGGTCTGGTGCTGAGGGACATGACTATGAGAGGTGTCTAGAAAACTCAGGTGTGGAAGTGCAGAGCCATCTGCTCTCATCACATACCACTGAGAGTCGGCACGTGACCCCAAGCGGCAGAGCACGCTGCCCAGATGGCCACAGTTCACTGCAGCCTCTGCGAAGGACTTGATTTTACCCTTCCCCACCACCTTCCAAACCAAGGTGAGAGGAGAGGGCCTCTCTGGGAATCGGAAAACCTGGTCTCCCCCACTCAGCTCTTCACCTGGCCTTGTACCCAAAATCACCTTGCTGTCAGTGAGCGAGGGCTAGAAAGGCCTCAAGAGTCAGCCAAGGAAACTGCCCACCAGAGGGCACTAGTAAAACAAAAGATTCTATTCTAGTCCATCAACTGGGGGATTTTTAGGTTTCAAGTTCCTCCAGAGTGGAATTAAAGAACAGGTTGTGTGAGATGAAAGCTTCCCCTTGGAGCTTTAAAGAACCATTAAGAAAATTGGACGTTATTAAATGGCCTTTTACTTACACGAGTGTGGATTTAAAACTGCTCACTGGTATTTTCCAGTTATAAAATTAATGTGGAAGGAAGAAATTTAATGGTCCACTTTCTTAGTATTTGCTTAACAAGAGAAACGAACCACAGAAAGAGTCATGATGTATTTTTCTCAAGATGCCTTTACATTCAAATGATTTTTAGAAAGGAACAAGTGGAGCCAACCTCATGCTCAATCTGCATCTTGCCCTTGATCAGAGAGGCTCAGTTCAATTCCACTGCCAGCAATAGTAGCATTAAAAACACGAAGTCATGCTAATACTGGAAGCTTAAAGCCACTTTTTTAATGATCTAATACTAAGCTAGAGAAGAGTTGGCGTCGGATGGCAGTACAGAGTTAAGGAGCTTGCCTGCATGTGACCAACCACAGTGCAATACCTGGAACCACATACAGATCCCTGAGTCCCAATAGAAGTTATTCCTGAGAACAAAGCCAGGATTCAGTCCTCAGCACTGCCAGATGTGGTCCCAAAACCAAAAAGAAAGAAAAGAAGAAAAGGAAAATTTGAGATGACAGAAGATTACCTTCTTTTAACAGTGTTCTTAAAAATCTTCTGAATTTTGTCTATGCACTAGAAGGTAGAAACTTCTAGTAATGTGTGCTAACCTGTCTCCAGGCTTCTTTCATTTTGCAATTTCGTAGATCAATCTCGGGTTATTGATACAAGTCAAAGAAGTCAAAGCATCTGAGAATAGATGCTGCACAACATGAAAGATATTCTCATCAGTTAAAACCTTTTCACGATCTAAGACCATTTCTACACTCAGAGCATTGGATTCTAATTTCCAAAAGAGCTAAGCTTGTTAGTATTTTCCTGATCTTGACTCCTGTTGAACTCAGGATATTCCCATTCCAAGAGATTAAACACCATCCGCACAAGTTTTTTGGTCAGCAAGCATGCATTGGGCATCTCCAGAGAGCTGGGTCATGCAGTCACAAGCCATTCCACTCCTCACTCCCGGGATTTCCATTAGTACAGACTCTGTCTCCAAGTGGGGGATTTCAGATGAAAGAAAGGAGAGACATGTTTGCTCATTAAGAGAATTCAAAGTGGAAATCTTCATGACTTGTCCCTCATTCCCTCACGAAGACATTCTGAAGGCTGTAACAGTGAACTGACATTTTCCCCTGTAATAAGTTCTCACCCACATATCTGTCACCTCATCCCCATTCCTATATTGAATCCCAATTATAATTCCAATAGTTGTAACTTTTTTTTAATTATTTTTTTTTGGCTTTCTGGGTCACACCCGGTGATGCACAGGGGTTATTCCTGGCTCATGCTGGCAGTGCTCAGGGAACTACATAGGATGCTGGAAATTGAACCTGGGTCAGTTGCATGCATGGCAAACACCCTACCTGCTGTGCTATTGTTCCAGCCCCAGCTGTAATGTTTTACCTTACCAGATTCCTAACCCAGTTACTACAACGTCAAAGTCATTTTCACTCACTTTTCCATTTATTTTCTCAACGTGGTTGCCATTTCCATTTATTCTAGAGGGTGCAGTGGAGAGAGGGGAGGAGTTTGGTTCATCCCTGGCAATGATCACAGATTACTCCTGGCTCTGGTAGTGCTCAGGGAACCATGTGCAGTGTTAAGGACTGAACAGGGGTTGACTGCAAGCTAGGTCTCTGGCCCCTCTGTCTGACAGTTTGAGAAACTAACTCATTCTCCCTTATGGCCTTCTGAAGGCATATGGCATATCCATCACCCGAAATCTCAACTCTGCATCAATAAACCTCAGAATGTGAGCAAGTTACTGAAGCTCACTGAGTTTCTTTGGGAGCAGGGCAGGGGACAAGGGCAGAAGCTGTCTTTCCTTTGGTTTCCAAGACTGACCCAAACTCAAACATGCTAGTGAGTCTTTCCTACCCACCTCTCTTTAGTAGCAGATACCTCATTCCTGTTTGAGTTCCATTAACAGCTTTGCTATTATTGCTTTCCAAATCTCCCTGATTCTGATGAAATTTTCTTCATACAGTTACTCCAATTTGGTTGTGTGTGTGTGTGTGTGTGTGTGTGTGTGTGTGTTTCTTTTAGGGAGGTAGGAGCGGGGGGGGGGGACACGTCACAGTCTAACACATTGCCTGAGAGAGTGAATCTCCTCCACAAAACATTTCTGAACCAACTAGAGTTCTCAGATGTTAAGATACTTGCAAATTACCTGGAGCCACTTGATTTTTTTTTTTTAATGTGCAATTTCTAATTCAGTTAGTCTGTAACAGATTCCTGGATTCTGCATTTCAAATGTATTTCTAGGCAACGCAGATGATTCTAGTACAAAAGTTGTTAAGTTGTCAGAAACTAAACAATAATACCATATTAAGATGCCTCACATGAAATACAGCCCAGGGCAGAGAGTGCAGAAATTCTTAAACCAGTTTTAACATACAGAAACCTGAAGCAATGTATCTCAAGAAGCTGTTCATAAGCAAAGAGGAGAGACAACAACAAAGCCCATATTCTTCCTCCTGCTGTGCTTTCTCATATGCTCTGCAAAAACACCCCGTTTGTCCCATACAGGGAAATATACTTGTTCCACTCACATAAAAAGTCAACATTCAATGGTCTCCTGGAAGGATGTTTGGGTCTATCCTTCTCTGACCATGCCATGTTATCTTAGATCATAAAATCCACAAGTTTTGGGGGGGTGAGGGTGGGGGGCCAAATTCGAGTTTCATCCTACATTCCAGAAAGACAGGATGAAATGTTTATTTCTTCCAAAACATATAATGATTCACCAATCAGGGAGACTCTAACTTGTTTTCCTGCTTGAAGACTACCTCAAAGTTGGTGCTGCAACAGGACTCAACGCTAAGTCCTGACGAGGCGGCATATAAATGCCTCGCCACCATCCTCTACCAAAAAAACAAAACAAAAAAAAAAGTTTTCTTTGTGGAGCTCCTTCAAAACAGTAGTCATGCCCAAGTTGTAATGAAAAGCTATGAAGAACATCCTTAGCAGAAAAAGAGGGGGGAAAAGGCAGAGCTTTAGTAAATGAATTCTTCTCAGGGCTAAGATAAAAAGTGCTAATGCTAATCTTAAATTAGCTAACACTAATCTTATATGAATAATTTTAAGAAAACAAAATGTCAAGAGTTTTGGAGCAGTATAATGTATTCAATATGGAGAGAGTCAAAATAAAGATCTTAAAAAATCATACCATTTCTTGCGAAACATAATCTGGACTTTTTGTATCAGCGGAATAAAAGGAAAAGTCATAGGTGAAGGTCTTGGTCCTTTCTCTGCCCGAGTCACCAGTCCCTCCTTCTGGTATCTAAAAAAAGAAATGATTATGATAATAACATGCGAGAAGAATTTTCATGACTCAAAGAGCACTATTAGTTGACAAGTGATCCAATACAAAATAAACTCCACTAAAATATATAGCCATCACTATGTTTCATTTTATACTCTGATAAAGAAATTCCTTTAAACCTCCTCCAAAACCATGTACATATCTACACACTTAATCTTACATTCTTCCAGTAATCCAGGATGGTTCATATGAAATGCCCAACCTACTTTTCCTAAAATTTTGCCATAATCACCCATATGAACTCAATAATTCCAAACCCTATTTTTTTTTCTGGCTTCACTGCTTTCTACTTTACCCTCTCCTCAAAATACTCCCAGTTGGTATCTGCATGGCTCCAGGAAGCATTATTTCCATAGATGATAATGTAAAGGTAAAGGTAAAGGCCCTCCCGTTGATCGTCGATTTGCTCGAGCGGGCCCAGTAACATCTCCATTGGAGACTTTGTTGTTACTGTGTCTGGCATATCGAATACTCTCGGTAGCTTGCCGGGCTCTCCGAGAGGGGCGGAGGAATCGAACTCGGGTCGGCCATGTTGGCCGCGTGTAAGGCGAACGCCCTACCCGCTGTGCTATCGCTCCAGCCCTGAACCACTGAGAAGGGTGAAATTTTGCAGAGTACAAGTAAGATGATTCCTCTTCCAGAACTTTCATGAAACTTCCCTCAGGCTCACCAAACAGAAGTCATTTCTCTTGGCTCAGAGAGACTTTTCCAGGACATACAATGAATTTATAAGTTTACTGGAGATGTTTGCATACATCCGGACTGCCACCTGCCTCTATTCCTAAATTGAACTGGAAACCATGTTTAGAAATATTTTCATGCAGCCAAAACCTAACACAGTTCAGTAGACACAGGGTGAATACATTCAGTGAGCATTAGATTTTCCAACATAATTCAGGTAGTATGTTAAAAATCTTTTTTGTTTGTTTGCTTTTTGGGTCACACCCAGCAGTGCTCAGGAGTTACTACTGGCTCTGCACTCAGGAATCACTCCCGGCAGTGCTCACGGGACAATATGGGGTGCTGGGAATCAAACCCGAGTCGGCCACATGCAAGGCAAACGTCCAAACTGCTGCGCTATCGGTTGGAGCAATAGCGTAGCGGGTAGGGTGTTTGCCTTGCACACAGCAGACCAGGGTTCAATTCCTCCGCCCCTCTCAGAGAGCCTGGCAAGCTACTGAGATTATCTCGTCCACATGGCAAAGCCTGGCAAGCTACTTGTGACATATTCAATATGCCAAAAACAGTAACAACAAGTCTCACAGTTTGTTGTGAGACGTTACTGGTGCCCGTTTGAGCAAAATCGATGAACAACGGGAGGACAGTGATAGTTAAAAATCTTAGGACTATTTTTTTTTTATTGAATCACCATGAAATACAGTTAAAAAAAAACTTTCATGTTTGATTTTCAGTCAGATGATGATCGAACTCCCATCCCCCCACCACTGTACATTTTCCACCACCAATGTCCCCAGTATCCCTTCCCCATCCCATTTTACCCCCATTTTACCCCTCCCCCTGCCTCTATGGCAGACAATTTCCCTCTTACTCTCTCTGTACTTATGGGTATTATGGTTTTCAATACAGATAATGAGAGGCCATCATGTCCGGTCCTTTACCTACTTTCAGCACACATCTCCCATCCCAAGTGATCCCTCCAACCATCATTGACTTAGTGACCCCTTCTCTATCCCAGCTGCCTTCTCCCCCAGCTCATAGGGCTTGCTTCCAACCATAGAGCAATCTTCCTGGCCCTTGTCTCTACCAGAAAATCATAAAACTATTATTAAAATGTTTAAAGTCTGGATATCTTTTCCAGTTATATTAGGTGATGAAGTGTTTCCAGAACTCAAAAGCAACAGAGAGATCAAAGAAAATATGTTTCACGATGCAAAAAGAAAGACTCATCCAAAGCATGGGGTCTCCTCTGCTTCAGTCACTGTCACTGTCCTCCCATTGTTCATTGATTTGTTCAAACGGGCCCAGTAACATTGTGAGACTTGTTACTGTGTTTGGCATATCGAGTACATCACAGGTAGCTTGCCAGGCTTTGCCATGTGGGCAAGATATTCTTGGTAGCTTGCCGGGCTCTCCGAGAGGGGCAGAGGAATCGAACCTGGGTCGGCCAAGTTGGCCGCGTGCAAGGCAAACGCCCTACCCGCTGTGCTATAGCTCCAGACCTCTACTTCAGTAAATATAATTTTTCAGTAATTAAGCCATTTACCAAAGCACTCTGAATATACCCAGATATATGAAGCAAAGGGGGAAAAAAGGAGCAGAGCATGGATAAGTGATGACCACAGACACCAGAGAAGAAGTGGGAGGTCAGAAGAGGCAGAGCAGGAAGGACCAAGGCGTGTGGTCAGTGACAGCATTCCACTGGGGACTGTCTCCAGCAAGAAACAGATCAAATATGCAGAGTGACCCACCTGGAAAGCTAGAACATTCCCCAGCTTCTAACACTTCTATCTAGCCCCCGGATCAAGTTGCACTTCTTTGAAATTAGATCTCAAAATGCAAAGTTCCTTGAGTCACAAATTAACAGAAAACTAACCAAAGACTTATCTACATTTGGCTGTGGAACAGTAGGCCTCAGAAACCCAACCCCCAGAGTTATAACAAGTATCAAAAGGCACAGTCACTGAGAGACACAAAGTAATTACAACAATTAGCGTTATAATTTATTTTACACCCTTTTCCCCAATTTGTGAAAAGTATTCAGGGCCCTTAAAACTATTCAGTAACCAAGGAAATAAATAGAGCATTTTAAGAGCAAAAGGAGAACCTGCTATCTCAGAATATTCTGGGGCTCTGTCCTTTTTTTATCTTAGTGGGAGAAACGTGGTTTATTTGTTCTATTATTTGCTCTTTCAGCCCCCAACTTTTGCGTAACTTTGAAGTAGCAATTTTCTTTTTATAAATTTTATGAAAGCAGTTTTCACTAAAAATGAAAACCAACAATGATTAAAATTTTTCTGTGATAAGAATACTGAACACAGTCAACAATACAGGGTATAAAGATCGAAAACTGCCTGGGGCTGCAGTTAACCCAGGAGCTGCTGGCCCAGAGGCTATTTAGCAGGGTCAGGTTTCCAGATTAAATGAAACCAAAGAGGGAAGGAAGAGAAGAGCCCAGCCCCTTCTCTTCCCAATGGAATCCAGTCAAGCTCCTGTGGCTAGCTAAACTGAGACAGAAGGGAAGCGGAAATGGCAGATGAATCTTATTTATCACAGTCATTCTGACACAAAACAAACATGGAGGTTCCTGGGTTTAGAGGGAGGCCAGGATGTTACTTGCCTTTAAATTTGTGATTGTTGTTTTGCTTTTCTCCATTTGAATAATGAATTTGGCTTCTAAGTCCTTCTCCCTGCAAAACAGAGAAATTGGCACTGGTTAGCAAGGATTATTTCTCTTTAAGGTTCTGCTTACCTTTTACATAAATGCTTTTAGAAGCTATCTAAAACATAATAGGCTCTTCCCTGATTCTTATTAAAGACACACAAAACAAAAGCTAGCCACCACAAACTCAGTCTGACAAATAACTGTGTCAAAATCAGGAAAAACCATAACTCTAAACTAAGAAAGACTGTACGAGTAAATAAAGTAGGGTAAATGAAAGGGCAGAAATTATGGAGAGCATAAGACTACATAACTACAAAAAAATTTTAAAATTTAAAAACTTAAAAATCAGTATCCGTCCACCCAGAATGAGAAGTAGGATGACAACTGGAGGTCCCGACCAGGAACTGATTCTCCAGGTTTTGCCCCCTCTCCCACCTCTCTCCTACATCCATTCAGAAAATGTAATTCTTAGAACACAGAAGAATATTCTTCCCTAGAATATCTGACCAACAGGATGCTGTGTCACTGACAAAGGAATACGAAAGAGATAAATATATCTCCTTAGTGCTGGGGAGTATACACAGAATGCTACCAGAACATTTAATGATAAAACGGATAATAATTTTCAAAAAGCTACCCATCGAGAAACAAGATTTAATTTTATTTTAAATAAACTAAAACACAAAAAGCAACTCAAAGCAAATGAACCTATTCTATACCACAGATTGAGAAAGAATTAGAATTTTGACTGTATGGAGAAATATGAATGACGACATCATTTAATGGATTTCTTTTTTTTTAATTTATTTATTTATTGAATCATTGTGGGAAAAGTTACAAAGCTTTCAGGTTTAGGTCTCAGTCATGCAAATATCAAACACATTTCCCTTTACCAATACTTATTTTTTACCATGAAGAACCCCAATAAAACCCCACCCCCCACCCCTCCCAGTCCTAATGGATTTCTTTATAAGAAAAAAAGGATAAGGAAACCTTTAAGCATTCTCAGTAATTGTAGTTTTAGTTCTAACATGTCATTATTCTGAGATTTTCATTTGTGTACTTTGGGACGATAAGTGAGTAATCATCTTAGTGCCACTGATAAACAAGGTTTTCCACTGCAAGATACAAACATAAGACTGATGAAGTTAAGTAAAATCTCTACAACTCTTAATTGACCTAAATGGGAAAAAGCAACATGACTTTTACCTGAAATTAAAATGGGGTTGGGGGGAGGAGTACTATCTAGTTTTGTCCACAAAAAGGCATAAAATCTCAGAGACCCAAATTACAATCTCTTAATACCATTTGCCACTAACATAAGAGCCTCTTTGCAGAAAGAGTCAAAGAAGATGACACAGAAGAGCAGGAATGCTATCACATCCAAGATAACGTGGGCAACTTTTAAAAACCGTTCCCATGCACAGATATGTATGCCCCTGTAAGAGCCGCTCCTCCTGACAGTGGCTACACCTAGTGACTTGTTTCCCCCCCCCCCCCCAGCTTTTTGGCTTTTTGGGTCACACCCAATGGTGCACAGGGATTACTCCTGGCTCTACACTCAGGAATCACTCCTGGCAGTGCTTGTAGGACCATATGGGATGCTGGGAATTGAACCCAGTCAGCCGCGTGCAAGGCAAACCAAACGCCTTACCCGCTATGCTCTTGCTCCAGCCCCGTGACTTATTTCTAACTGGAATATCAACAAACCTGAAGTGTTTCATAAATGACAGAATTGCATCATTTTGTGAAACCACATGAATTAATAGCTCAAGAGAGATCAGCAGAGGCTGCCAATTCCAGCCACTAGGAGGGAACCAGAGCTACAGAACTGAAGGATCAATAGCCTCTGCAGGGCTCTTGTCGATCCTATTCCTCCCAAAAGGATCTGGCACTGGCTGGGAGTGAGTCACTGTGAAAGGCAGGGGAACGCATAAAATAGTGCCAGAGAGGCAATCAGTAAAACATACCCTCCAGGGGCTGGACTGATAGCACGTGAGCCCCTCAGATTCAATCCCTGGCATCCTCTATGGTCTGAGCACTAAGGAACTACTCAGTGCAGAGTCAGGAGTAACCCCTGAGCATGGCCAGGTGTGCCCCCTTAAAAAAAAAAAAGGAACTCCTCAGTGCAGAGTCAGGAGTAACCCCTGAGCATGGCCAGGTGTGCCCCCTTTAAAAAAAAAACATAATTTAATCTCCAGAAGGGAGACAAACAACCCAATTAATTAACAAACCCCAAGGAATATATAAATGGGGTAAAAAACCTAAAGACTGTAAATCCCTAGTAACCAAGTGGCTCTCCATCCATAAAAGCATTTTAAACTCAAAAGCTATGCAGAGAAATGTTAACTACAACTAGATATTTGATGAAATTAAGAAATTATTATATGGGGTTGGATGTGATACTGATACGATGCTTTGTTAAACTTAAGGTCTACACTGAAATAACGATACAAGTGAAATGATACAGTGAGATTTGCTTTAAATAATCTGGAAGTGGGGAAATTCAGGATGAACAGAGACTGAATAAATATCAGCCAGAAGAACTGAACCCTCAAAGTTGCTTGTAGTGAACCACATTTGAGAACTACAATGAATCCCCATGGCTTACTTCTCTAAGCCAGATATGAAGAAATACAGGGCAGGAAAAACTGAACACTGCCTTAAACAACAAACATGAAATCCCTCCCAAGCCACACTGCTTACACTCCAACCCACAGGGAAATCCCCCAAGGGACTTAGATACTAGGGAAAAAAACTCTAAATTGGATTTTTCAGTCAATCAGTCAGACTTCACAGCAGCTCCCTGGAAAAGCATATTACCACACAGCTGTCGGCCAGAGGTCCGCAGCTGATCCAGAACCTACATCCCGAGTCAGGCCCCAGAGGCAGCAAGGGAGGAAATAGGCCCGACCTCCAGTGCACTCCCTGAGGTTAACCCTGAGGAGTGAGCCAGGGACAAAGATAAGGTCTATTCTCACCAACTGTGAGCTTCCAGGGGTTAAGTGAAAACCTTCCCACAGTTGGAGGGAGTGATTAGCTGAGCCTTTCCTGCTCTTTCCTGGCTGAGAGGAAAGGATAATTAATCTGAAAGGTTGGCAACTGTCACAAGTTGGGGTCTCCAAGAAGCAGACCATCTGAGGGTTGAGGATGAAGGTTGCTCTTGAAGATGTGTATCCTTGGGCCCCATGCCTGGGGAAGGAGCATCAGGGCTGGACAAGGGAGAGGCGGCAATGTTGCTGCCACACACACAAGCAAGGCAAGTCACAGCTGAGTCCATGAGGCCTTTGGGGGCTTCAGGGTCCTTCCAGGACCACCCAGCTGGCTGCGAGGTGACTTCACCAACTGTAGGCTGTCTGGGGAAGGCGGGGAACTGGGGGTCTCTCAGAGGAGGTCACTGATGGCAACGCAGCCAAGTGCACAAGCCCTTCAGCAAAGGCACCTCTCGCCAACATGCGCAGTGTCCTCCCTCCAACTCCCCATCCAGTCCCTGGTATCTACGTGAGGAGGAACACTATGCGCCAGCACCCCAATGTCCCAGCAGAGAGCGATGAGTCAGAACTACTGCGCAAAAGTGGACGTAGCTACTTGCTTGGGGGAGGTTTTCAGTTCCAGGAAGGACAGCCTCACTGTTGGAGTTCCTGCTGCTAAAGCTCCGAAACCAACTGGACCGGTTGAACTGCGAGAACGCTCCCAGGACCAGGACTGGAGGTGACAGAGTGAAGCCAGGGAAGATGACATTTCCCGGATAGATTTATAACTCGCAATCACTGGTGGCTGGATTTGGACACCTATAGAATCTAGACAAATAACTGATTGGCAATAGTGACAGAATCTGAATAATTTTGTTTCAATCTTGCCCCTGCAATCACTGCTCTAAACCTGCATCTCCCACTTAACACCTGTCCTCATCCTGCATGGACTGCATTCCATTTGCCCCTAGATAATCACAGTTGATCCGAAATTAAATTGTCTACTGCGCCATTGGCATGTTGTCCAAGCCTACCAACCAAGTCATGACTGTGTCAGAATCGGCTCTATGAACCCAGCTCACCAGATACTGCCAGACAATACTTCCAAACCATCAGAATTGCCTCAGTATAAAAACAAATTTCCCAGAAATGTGCAAAATACTCACTGAAGATGCCAAGTCAGAGGCTGGACAAATCCTTAGCTAGAATGCTGTGTGAGAAGAGCAATGTAGTCACTCAGCCCATAAGCATTCTGTCAGTATCTTCCACATGCCAAATGATACTCTTAATGTAGAGAAAAAGTAGCAAACAACAGAGAGTGCTCCTGGAGGCTGTGTTTTAATAAGGGATTAGACATAAATAAATACAATAAATTTCAGATGGTGGTAAAAGCTACAAAGACCTGAAAAAGTGCCGCAAGATAGAAGTCAGGGCAAAGGAGGGGAGGCGAGCAGTCCTAAAGATATCTCTAATGAGGCGACGCATGATTAGAGTGAAGCTGAGGTCCAAGTAAAGATTTGGAACACTCCAGGCAAAGGGCAACTCAGGGGCCCTGGCACTGTAATCAGAGCCAACCAAAGTGAGGGTGAGGGTGTGTGTGTGTGTGTGTGTGTGTGTGTGTGTGTGTGTGTGAGACTTGCGGGGGGGGGGGGGCACAAGAGGCAACAAAGCAGCATGACTGTTCAAAAAAGAGAGTCAAAAAGCAGTCAAGAGAAAAGATAGGAGTGGGTTAGCCAAGGCTCACAGGGGTCAATTCAATGACTAAAACCTTGGGACTTAAACGCGAGAAGGCAAAGATCTAAGAACATTTAACAGACAAGAGAGTGGTGGCCAAAACACAATTATATTGGGGGGGAGGGGGACCTTGGGGCTGAGCTCATATCTTACTCCTGGTTCTGTGCTCAGGGATCACTCCTAGAGGTGCTAGCTGGGGAGAGGGGAGGGTGATATGACTTGTGCTGCTGGGGCTCAAGCTACGGTTAAATGCATGTAAGGCAAGCACCTGAGCCCTGCGAGATCGCTCGCTCCACAATGATAGTTTTAACAAACCCCC